ATGTTATAAATTGATGTGCATTTTAATGAGGGAAATAAGTATTTGACCCCTTCTCAATCAGAAAGATTTCTGGCTCCCAGGTGTATTTTATACAGGTAACGAGCTGAGATTAGGAGGACACTCTTAAAGGGAGTGCTCCTAATCTCAACTTGTTACCTGTATAAAAGACACCTGTCCACAGAAGCAATCATTCGATCATATTCCAAACTCTCCACCATGGCCAAGACCAAAGAGCTCTCCAAGGATGTCAGGGACAAGATTGTAGACCTACAAAAGGCTAGAATGGGCTACAAGACCATTGCCAAGCAGCTTGCTGAGAAAGTGACAACAGTTGGTGTGATTATTCGCAAATGGAAGAAACACAAAAAAACTGTCAATCTCCCTTGGCCTGGGGCTCCATGCAAGATCTCACCTCGTGGAGTTGCAATGATCATGAGAACGGTGAGGAATCAGCCCTGAACTACACGGGAAGGTCTTGTCAATGATCTCAAGGCAGCTGGGACCATAGTCACCAAGAAAACAATTGGTAACACACTACGCCGTGAAGGACTGAAATCCTGCAGCGCCCGCAAGGTCCCCCTGCTCAAGAAAGCACATATACATGCCGGTCTGAAGTTTGCCAATGAACATCTGAATGATTCAGAGGACAACTGGGTGAAAGTGTTGTGGTCAGATGAGACCAAAATGGAGCTCGTTGGCATCAACTTAACTCGCCGTGTTTGGAGGAGGAGGAATGTTGCCTATGACCCCAAGGACACTATCCCCACCGTCAAACATGGAGGTGGAAACATTATGCTTTGGGGGTGTTTTTCTGCTAAGGGGACAGGACAACTTCATCGCATCAAAGGGACGATGGACGGGGCCATGTACCGTTAAATCTTGGGTGAGAACCTCCTTCCCTCAGCCAGGGCATTGAAAATGGGTCGTGGATGGGTATTCCAGCATGACAATGACCCAAAACACACGGCCAAGGCAACAAAGGAGTGGCTCAAGAAGAAGCACATTAAGGTCCTGGAGTGGCCTAGCCAGTCTCCAGAACTTAATCCCATAGAAAATATGTGGAGGGAGCTGAAGGTTCGAGTTGCCAAACGTCAGCCTCGAAACCTTAATGACTTGGAGATCTGCAAAGAGGAGTGGGACAAAATCCCTCCTGAGATATGTGCAAACCTGGTGGCCAACTACAACCTCTATGATTCCCAACAAGGATTTTGCCACCAAGTACTAAGTCATCTTTTGCAGAGGGGTCAAATACTTATTTCCCTCATTAAAATGCACATCAATTTATAACATTTTTGACATGCGTTTTTCTGGATTTTGTTGTTGTTATTCTGTCTCTCACTGTTCAAATCAACCTAACATTAAAATTATAGACTGTTCATTTATTTGTCAGTGGGCAAACGTAAAAAATCAGCAGGGGATCAAATACTTTTTTCCCTCAATGTACCTGCCTAGGTATTTTATGTCATCAAACGCTCCCCTCTATCAAATCTCCATGAGTGATGGGGAGAGTTGTGGAGAGAATGGAGAAATTCCCGTACTTGGGCAGTGTGCTCATGCCCGGCTCCGATTTGGCAGTGGAGGTCTCACTGCACATTAGTTCAGCGCGTTTATCCTTTCATCAGCCACGCAATACTGTGTGGAAGCGACCTGGTCTGTCGCTCCATAGAAAGCTCCCGGTCGTCTCGGTCACAGTTATGCCCTCCCTTTTCGATACTTTTAAAACGTAGATCCCTCTAAAGAAATGTCTGCGCTGGTTTGAAACATTCAGGCTAACCTGCCTATGATCCATCTTGAGTTTAACCAGACTGGATTGTGTGAAGACTTCACGAGTCCTTGAAAGATCTGGACAAAGTCCTAATAGTGAGCTCCTCTGACAAGTGAGGCTACATTGGCTAGGTCGTGTAGCCCGCATGCCCAGGCAACGGCATGCTTCTGTTTGTCCAGATAGAGCGGGCTAAACGGGCGCGGCACGGGCTAGAGAAGAAGGATGTAGAGCTGAGTGGACTTGCCGATGACTGGTAATAGTGGTGTCAAGATCGGCCTTTGTGGAGGAGGTTTGTGAAAGATGCTGCTGGGGAGTTGGAGACACCCTCCAATAACGAGGGGAAGAGCGATGCTCACAACAACGAGCGGAGCGCCAAGTGGCAAAAACGCAGAGACTTGGCACAGTGAGGATCACAGGTGGTGCATCTGCCAGCAATCTCAGTCAGTCAACACTTAGCATCTGGGTCCGTCGCATGACCTATCAGCGAGTCTTCGACACTTCACGTGGTCTCAAAGTGCACAAGGCCTGGCACAGATGCTGTGGGAACATCACCGTCACTAGTGGTGAACAGAGACTGTTATTGTTGATGGTGGTCGTGGTAGCGGCGGTGGTGGTGGGGCATCAGGGTGCCCACAGCGACCCCCCTCCCCGGCGGCCCAGGTATGAGGCCCGGACCCTCCCCGGCCTCGAGTTCGGGCCCCGTGCCAAGCGCCGAGCCCCCCGCCCCCCCCCCGCGTACAGTGGAGGTGCCGTCCGACTGGTTTTTCTGTCTGATTGTCACAGTGCCAGCTACCCCCCCTCTCCTTCACAGCCCCCCTGCTCCCGCCCCCTCTTCCCCCCACAGCCCCCCCTGCGACCCCCACAACTCCCCACGCACCTCCTCCCCCCACAGCTCCCCCCATCTCCCCTCTCAGCCCCCCTCCAACCCCACGGCCCCCCCAACTCCCCACGCACGCCCCCCTGACAGCCCCCCATCTCCCCCCCCCCTCCCCACGGACCCCCACCCAAACAGCGCCCCACACAACTCACAATTCCACATCACGCTACAAAGCCACTCTACACGGCACCTTCACACAAAGCGAAAGATCCCCCGTACAGCCTTGAAAAGATTGTTGGGGTCAAATGCTGTTAGTGAGTAGCGCCTATGAAGGCCGGAAAGGTACACGAGGGGGTAGGTGGCCGCCTTTGTCTCCCTAGTGGCGATGTTTACAGACCTTACCAGGTACTCATTTGAGGCTGAGTCGACCTCGGGGAGGCCCAGCACCGGTTCAGATAATCGTCACTGGTCTTGGTGACGTGAGCGGGAATCTAACTCGGGTCGCTGGGTTCGAAGCGCAGCGTAGCGCTAACACAGACACTGCCCCAAAGCCACCCGCCCCCTCCACCAGCCCCCCACCCCGCCACCCAACAAACAGCCCCCCTCCAGTCACCCCAGCCCCGCCCCTCAGCCCGAAGCGATGCAACCCCGCCCCCCTCTCTGTCTATACACAAATAGTTTCATATGCAGACTTAGAGACACGTGTGTGCACCACAACACGACCAAAGGCGTAGCACCTGCAAGTGAAATTGCTCGCTCTATTCGCCACTGTCGGCGGAAGGGGCCTGCGCTCGAGGAAGCGTCTAGCTCGTTGAATGTGCTATGTTTAAGGGTCTTTGCCCAAAACGTCGCCTATTATCGCCTGTTATATATGTTTCTCATTAAGTCCCACAGCCCCACACGTGTTGTTGACTCGGAGCGTGTTGGGTTTATTGTTGGTAGTGCTTGTGGACCATTGACCTCTGGATGTAAACCCATCGACTGCTCCACGCGTGGCCGAGCACTCGGGCCTATTTACAAAGTGGTGACGACGTCAGCAAGCCCCGCCCATCACCTCCCGTCCAGCGGCACGAGTGAGTGATCTGTGTATTCGTGTGGCCAAGGTGCCGTCCATAAATTACGTCACGGCGTCACAAAAAGGTAGACCCCCCCTCAAATATGACGTCACAAAGCTCTGCCCCGCCCTCCCCCAAAACCATATTTCCATTTTGAAAATAAAACATGCTTCAAATCGCTTTAACCTATTGTCCTTGTAGTGCGTATTTAATGTGGCGCTGCACTCTGATGTTGCAGGAGAAAACATTTATTAAAAAGTCTATTTAAGTAAGTAGAACGCGTTGTCTATATTTAAAGTTGCGCATTTTGATGTAGGGTCACAATTATCACCCCACCCCCCCGTCACACATCGTCACAAATGTCTGACATCCCCCCCCCCACCACACTCTGTCCCGTGCGCTGAAGCCAACTGGGCACCCCGAATATCAAGAGTTTAAGTTTGGTTTTGTTTAATCTGCAGGTTGAGAACTCAAGAAGCCAGCATGAGCCTCAATTTCCAAGTTACCTGACTCATCAAAATGACGAGAGATCCCATGGAGGTATCTCGAGATACATTGAGATACCTAGAGATACATTGAGATACCTAGAGATACATTGAGATACCTAGAGATACATTGAGATACCTCGAGATACATTGAGATATCTATAGATAGAGAGACCCATATAATACATTGAGATACATAGAGACCAAATACCACAACAACACATAGCGATACATAGCTAGATACATTAGATATACATGGGGATATATTGAGATGGAGAAATACATAGGTTTACCTTGGTACAGTTTGCAGTTTCCAGTTAGTTTTGTTTGACCAGGTTATGATAATAACGATAGAGACAAGGACATTCTCATTTGCAAGAGTGAGTGACCACGTTGGTCATAAAACTGACAAAAGGGCAAATTCATTAAAAAATAAGTACTCATGGCAATGAAGCAAACGGGAATCGGGTCAAAAACAACTGCGTGAATTATTTTAAATCGATTCTATCCCCACTTTATTCAAATGGCCATGTTGTTATATACAAAATATTACTTAAATTAGGCGCTTGGTATAAACCGTTATTTTAACAAATTTTTAGTTTTAAAATAGACGTACATTTGATTAAATAAGTATATAAGGAGGGAGTGGGGATCTGGGTGTGATGGGTGGGGGGTCACTCCCCCAACCGTAACCTCTTTCCCTGCTCCACTCCATATGATGGTGCTCACTATAGCGGCCTCTAATAGAGGCCCCAGCCGCCAGCAGTGTTTGTGAGTGTGCACTTCCGGTATTGTGCCTGTACCTTATGCATCGCTAGAAACGTTATCGTCATTACGTAGACTGCACAGATCCTCTTTAAATGGAGTTGGCTAGACACCTCCAATAAAGGACCACAGAGCTTGGATAATTCTTAGATGGCGCTTGGTTCTGGCTGCCCAATTCCCCATTCGTCTGCGGTTTCTTCGCGCTGCAGGCGCGACAGATGCGTGCGTGTGCAAGCGCAAACTGCGTCAACGAGGCTAAGGACATGAATGTAAAACAGCCGTTTAGGGGGCACGCAAAATCACAATTAAGGCATCTCCAATGCCATGTAAGGCCCACTAAGCTATATATCTATTTTTCATAATCCACCTGGCCACAAATTATAGCTCAACGAAGTGGCTTATCACATAGAAATGTATAGTAGCCAAATACTCTAAACGCGCGATGTTGAGAAAAATCCACAGGGAAAGAGAGACGCAAACTCCAAATATATAGCAGGTGTCAAGGTCGGGATCGTACCCACGACCTCCTGTATACCAGACATGCTAGTTAACATCTCGTAACCGTTTATCGTGTCAATTTTAAGGTTTCGCTGCACGTCGTGGGAGGTGGTAGGGGGTGGTTGGGGGTGGGCAATGTCCCTTCTTCAAGGAGCATAAACCATCACGGTGAACTCTAGACATCCTCGCAGCGGCGGCTCTTGGCCAACTGCCGAACAAAGACAATCACTGCATCTCATGCTTTAAGATGCGCTTCTGTGGCCATCTGGAACGCTCTTGCTTCCGATATTAGGAAGCCACTGGGAGCCATGCACTTTAAATCATGTAGATTGAAAACTAATTTCTTTAGAACCGCCCAGTGTTTAGTTTTATGTCCTTCCCCTCGCACCTCCGATTAACACGGTTGGCGACGTATGGTGCGAAATAAGTTCAACATATATACATTACAACAATAACAATATCATTGTTAGGCTCATCGTAATCATCACAATCAGAATAATTGCATTCACGATCTCTCTCCATCCATCAACCACTCACCTGCAATGCATCCTCCATCACTGTCGCCAATCTCCTTGGCATAGCCCTCCCCCACGTGCAGCCCCGCCCCACGCCCCGCCTCCAAGTGCAGCCCCGCCCCACGCCCCGCCCCTACGCGTAGCTCCGCTCCAGACCCCGCCGCCATTTTCGCAGAATTCAAAACCTGACCGGTGGCGGCAATGACGGTAGCGGCAGCTTCCGATTGGTCACCGTGACGAGCCGCCGCGTGCCCGGCGAGACCTCTGACTCGGCCCTCCTCCACCCTACGCGACTGAGGAGGAGGCAGAGGAGGAGCAGCAGTGCACGCGCAGGGGGAGCACCGGCGCGCCTTGTGCTCAATGAAGCGTGCAATGTCGGACAGCAGGAAGTCGCAGCCGCAGCGGCTGCAGGTGAGGAGGTCGGCGCCCCGCGACGTTGAGGTGGGCAACAGGGATAACGACGATGACGAGGACGACGAGGAGAGCGGCGGCGATGACACCGACGCCAGTGACGACGACGATGACGCCTCCATTGTGGTTGTTACATTGTTGTGATGTTTGCTGCGGTTGTTAATGTGGCGGTGGGTTGTTATTGTGCTCGTTGTTGTCGTGGCGCGCGCGTGAGTTTTTGCGTTGCCATGTCCATCATCGTCGTCCTCCTCTTCCGCCTCCTCATCATCGTCTTCGCCGGTGAGGTTGCTTGTGTTGTTGTGGCAATGGTGGTGATTGCCGTTGTTGTTTTTGGCGATGTCGTGGAAACGGCCATCGGCGAGCGAGCTGCTTTCGAGGGAATCGCTTACGGCTGTGGAGGCGTGGAGAGGAGAATCAGCATCTTAAGCATCAGCATCAATGCCATTATCAATAAGTGATCATCACTCATTATTGCAGAATAAACAACCTCATTCCACACCCAAACATCGCACCTCCTGGCTCTGACATTCCTCCTCCTCGATAAACACTGATGGAACTATCAATTTACTCACCCACTCACTCATTCACTCATCTACTCAACCACCTGCTCACTCACCAAACCACTCACCACTGGTGTAATCAACTGCATCAGAACATCAACAGGCCGTTGCTACATCTCCGTCATGTGGAGAATTAAATATGCACCCATCCTGGTGTCACTGTGGCCATGCAACTCAACACTATGGACTTCATAGTAAACATAAATACACATAGCAATACGTATAAACTTTTACTGGAGAGATACTTAGAGGCCCGTAGGGGCTCACAGAGATACATATAGACCAGGGGTCGACAATCAAAATAACATAAGATATATATTTTTAGAATTCGGTAAAAAGAAATCAATATTTTAAGAGCTGCAATGCACATTAATACGTAGCCAGTAGCAGACCTCAACATTGGCGTCGGTTCTTGAACCAACAGCTACTGCCATTGTGCGCAATAATAGAATTTCACATTTTGATACAAAATATAAACATCTCGAGTTATGCATAATTCTTATGTTCAAAATGTGTAAAAGACTGACCGACTCAAATAATTCCCAGTCAAGCGACTTCTGCCGCTGCTGCTCAAACGAACCACTCTGGCGCATCAGTACCCATCTTCTGTTTATGGCCTCGCAGAGCCAGTGGTGGAAATTCCACGTCCCTGGGGCCGGGAGCAAGTCCGTCTATACACATTGACGGAGGCAAAGGCGGCCGGGCTTTCTGCTGGCCACACACCGTTGCCTCATATCCATAGGTCCTAACTGCACTTGCCCCAATCGTCGGTTAAACGCTGTACGGGGGACCTTTGTCTTTGTGTGTGTGCGGCTGTATGTGAACTTGTGAGTGTGTGGGCATGCACACACACGCACACTCACTCGCTCGCGTGCCAAACCACCGCACCTGCATTGGGTATACAACTTGGGTCAGCGTTCAGACAGCCAGGGCTCTCTCTGCGTAGGCCACCTCGGGATAGGGCGAGCACTGACCCTCGCCCTAGCCTGTCGCGCTGAATATGAGGGAGTGTGTGTGGACCTCCCCACGGTCGACTCAGCCTCAACTGAGTACCTGGTGTGGAGTGTCGTAAACATCCCCACTAAAGGAGACAAAGGCGGTCGGGCGTGGTGCTGGCCACCCACACTCGAGTGCCGTGCCGCCCTTCATAGGTGCTGCTTGCCCCACCCAACTCGCACTCCGTGTTCGGAGCGCAGCGCGCTAATCACTACACTGGGGTACCAATCCCAACTTACACTCGCTCACAAAGACAAAGATCTAAATTGTTGGGGCTGTTAGCAAGCACTTATGAAGGCCGGCACGGCACACGAGGGGGTGGGAGGCCAGCACCACGTGCGGACCGCCTTTGTCTCCGCAGTGGTGATATTTACACACCGCACCAGGTATTCATTTGAAGCTGAGTTGGCCTAGGGGAGGACCGTGAGCGGAGATCGAACTTGCGTAAACGGGTTCGTAGATCAGGCGCGCTAACCACTCCACTACCGCTCCTCCTGTACTTCCCACAAAGACAACATCACCACTGGGAGACAAAGGCGGTCGGGCGTGGTGCTGGCCACCCATCATGTGAACTCCGCTCATCCTCTAAGTGGCTTTTGGCTGGCCATCGGACAAAGACGGTCACCGCATCGCACGCTTTCAGATGCTCTTCTGCGGCCGTCTGGAACTCTCTTCTGATATTAGGAAGCCACTCGATTGAAAACTCATTTCTTTAAAACGGCGTTTTGTGTTTAGTTTGTTGTCCTTCCCCAGCACCTCCGATTAGCATGGTTGGCTATGTACGGTTCGAAAAAAGTTCAACATACATACATATATGCAACCATTGTTGAATTCCCCCATGTGAAGTGGTGCTCATTTTATCAACCCCGGAGGGGAGGTAGGAAATTATGGGTTGAGTCAGTCCCCCACTCACGAACCGGGAAATGAATTCGCAAACCTTTTGATTGCGAGCTGCTTGCTCTTGCACTGAGCCACCCGAAGGATTCGTAACTTGCTCACCCGCCCCTATTGGACATCTGTGAAAAAGAGCTTCATAGCTCATCGGATTCCACCAGTCTAAATAAATGTTCTGATTTTGAAATAAAGATTCTGATTCTGATAAAGATTATGATTACAAACGCATATAATGCATCAACAGTGTTGTCCATCAGCCTATTGGCTTCCCAGCTGGACTAAAACATGCCATGTATCCGTGTGCAGAAACACATTATGCAGTTCTGTTTATAGCTGGTTTTGCTCATAACAATCCACAGCATATTGAGTTAGGGTGGGCGATACGGTTGTGAAAGAAGACGAATGCTAATTGTGAGGAAGGCCTAAAGATGAAAGCGGAAAGGCCCAATCAGGAAGGTGTGGGGTCTAAAGATGAAGGTATGGGGTTTAAAGATGAAGGAGTGGGGTTTAAAGATGAAGGTGTGGGGTCTGAAGATGAAGGTGTGGGGTCTGAAGATGAAGGTGTGGAGTCTAAAGATGAAGTTGTGGGGTTTAAAGATGAAGGTGTGGGGTTTAAAGATGAAGGTGTGGGGTCTAAAGATGAAGGTGTGGGGTCTGAAGATGAAGGTGTGGGGTCTAAAGATGAAGGTGTGGGGTCTAAAGATGAAGGTGTGGGGTCTAAAGATGAAGGTGTGGGGTCTGAAGATGAAGGTGTGGGGTCTAAAGATGAAGGTGTGGGGTTTAAAGATGAAGGTGTGGGGTCTAAAGATGAAGGTGTGGGGTCTGAAGATGAAGGTGTGGGGTCTAAAGATGAAGGTGTGGGGTCTAAAGATGAAGGTGTGGGGTCTAAAGATGAAGGTGTGGGGTCTAAAGATGAAGGTGTGGGGTCTAAAGATGAAGGTGTGGGGTCTGAAGATGAAGGTGTGGGGTCTAAAGATGAAGGTGTGGGGTCTAAAGATGAAGGTGTGGGGTCTAAAGATGAAGGTGTGGGGTCTGAAGATGAAGGTGTGGGGTCTAAAGATGAAGGTGTGGGGTTTAAAGATGAAGGTGTGGGGTCTAAAGATGAAGGTGTGGGGTCTAAAGATGAAGGTGTGGGGTCTGAAGATGAAGGTGTGGGGTCTAAAGATGAAGGGCCAGAGCCTAGAGAGCTTGATCTTCCCTGTTGCTTTAAGGCAATAGAAGAAGAGAATAAAATAGAAGCAGAGCATCAAATAATGCACGGCAGGCAGCAGCATGGCTTTGGTGCTGCTGGTACAGCCACAGGTCAACTCGTGAATACAAAGATTTATCCATAACAGAAGGGTTTGGGCTAGATCGCGTAAATATAAATGTGTCGTTAAACCCACCACCACCCAATACAGCCAATTAGTAAGGTTTGTCACATAAACAAACATAATGAATTGGCAGGAACGAGTTTTGTTTACGTGACACATTTATATTTACACGCTCTTACCCAAAAACCTCTGTAGTGTGTTATGCACCGAGTCTCACACACTGTAGTTGGAGGCAATACTTTTAATAAACACAACCCTAACAACTCGAGTTCTATAGCTCGGTGTGGCTATCTGTTTGCTCTGTGCGTGCGCGTTAGTGTAGCGAACGGGCCAGTCAGCACACACGCTGTCTGGCCCACGATATCAGGCTACACTAAACCAACGAACGAGGAGCGAAGACGAAGAGACGCGGGACTCCAGGCCGATCCCCACAACGGTCCCCAGTCCCTGCCGGGGCTCCCCCTTCATTTCCCTGGGCGCAGGCTCGCCCCGCCCTCGGCCACGCCCCCTGCTGTATCAAGTAAGGAGCCCCCGGCTCCCAGTCACGTGTCCCTCTATTACCCGGCGCTCAGCAGCACATGTGAAATAGTGGCTGGCGCTAACCATAAAGTGACAATATTTCATGTCACTACACCTCTATAATCGATAATATTGGTCGCGAAAGCCTACGACTACTACGTGTTAAACTGACAATCAATTGAAACATTTCGGGCATGGCCATTGTAATGTCCAGGGGTCAGCAACCAAAATAACAAGGGCCATTTTTTTTTCTCCGTCAAAAACTAAATATTTTTAGAGCCGCAATGCGTGTGAATATCGGACAGTGGTCCTTTATGAACAACGCCACAAAGCAGGCCTAAAAGAGCCGCATGCGGCTCTGGAGCCACAGATTGCCAACCACTGTATGTCTTATTGGGAATGGACTAAAGGGAACGATGGAGGTTAGAAAAGGCTGCTCGGGCAGCGGAAAGTGTCGTCGATGTGACGATGGCCGATTGGTTGAGACTTGTGACGAAATGTCAGCTGGAAGGAGGGAGAGAACGTGCTGTAAAGGACGCCCACGGTGGAGACGGAGCAGAAGATTCACCTCGTGCTGGATGAATTGTGCCGCCGTGACACCGAGGGCACGGTACATCCACTAGCGTTACACCGAGGGCACGGTACATCCGCTGGTGTTACACCGAGGGCACGGTACATCCGCTCGTCTTACACCGAGGGCACGGTACATCCGCACGCGTTATTCAGAGGACATGTTATATCCGCTCGTGTTATACCGACGTCTCGGTACATCCGCTCGTGTTATACCGAGGACATGGAATAAACCGCTCCTCACGCACACCACTCACACCCCACTCTCCCCCCTCCACAGGCTCCTCCCCCTTCTCTCCCTACCCCCTTCCACCCCCCTCTCCTCCGCCTCCCTTCCCCCGTCTCACCGCAGACTCCGCTCACACGCGACTTCCCATTCACAGACTTCCCTGAGCAACCACGCCGCACTACCTCTCGCCTCGCGGGACACGGACCCCGCTAAGACCCTTGCAAGACACGGACCCCCGTGAGAGACGGACCCCTGCGACACACGGAACCCTTTGAGACACGGACCCCTTCGAGACACTGCCCCCTGTGAA